AATCCAATCCCTTACAGTGCGCTGGCCAGCCTGTTGTACCAGCATCTCGGGGCCTGCTTCAAGCCATAGATGGCCTTGTTAAGTTTGCAAACACGACCGGTTCCATCCTCATAGCCTGGTGGTTGAACCATGTACACCTCCTCTTCCACAATACCGTACAGAAAAGTGGTTACGATGTCCATCTGCTTCACCTTCCATTTGCACACAGCAGCTACCGCCAGCAGCACACGTAGCGTTGGAGACTTAGCAGTTGGGGCAAACACTTCTTTATAATCTTCCTTCTCTTTCTGCTGAAACCCCTTTGCCACCAGCCTGCTCTTGTAAACTGATGGCTCTCCTTTCTCATCCGTCTTGATATTTGCCAGCCACTTGCACTCTATTGCCTTCTTCCCATTTTCAGATCGATTCACCGATTCGAGTTTTGGCTATAGCTTTTCGAAGGTCGCGAGTTTCCTGGGCGTCATAACGAAGTGCTGCAGAAATTTCCAAGGAGCCATTGAATCATCTGCTTATAGCCTTCTCTAACCAACACGAAGTCAGAAGTAAGTGCCAAGACTAAGGATTTATACCGAGAAGATGTTGAGCACCACGGCATGGGTTGACACTCGTGTCCATGGTAAGTACCAAGACTAGGTTTGGGGTAAGTACCAAACCTGACGTTCACTATCATGTGCATCATAAGTAGCAAGCCTTGCCTCAAGTACCTTGACTATGGTTAGACCCATGACCAAGTCTGAGTACCGAGTCAGTTGGATTTACCAAGCCGAAATTTAGGTACCAAGTCAGAGGTAAGTGCCAAGACTAAGGTTTTATACCGAGTAGATGTTGAGCACCACGGCTTGGGTTGACACTCGTGTCCATGGTAAGTACCAACTCTAGGTTTGGGGGTAAGTACCAAACCTGACGTTCACTATCATGTGCATCATAAGTAGCAAGCCTTGCGTCAAGTACCTTGTCTATGGTTAGACCCATGACCAAGTCTGAGTACGGAGTCAGTTGGATTTACCAAGCCGAAATTTAGGTACCAAGTCAGAGATAAGTGCCTAGACTAAGGTTTTATACCGAGTAGATGTTGAGCACCACGGCTTGGGTTGACACTCGTCTCCATGGTAAGTACCAAGACTAGGTTTGGGGTAAGTACCAAACCTGACGTTCACTACCATGTGCATCGTAAGTAGCAAGCCTTGCGTCAAGTACCTTGTCCATGGTTAGAACCATGACCAAGGTTGAGTACCGAGACGGTTGGATTTAACAAGCCAAAATTTAGGTACCAAGTCAGAGGTAAGTGCCAAGACTAAGGTTTTGTACCGAGTAGATGTTGAGCACCACGGCTTGGGTTGACACTCGTGTCCATGGTAAGTACCAAGTCTAGGTTTGGGATAAGTACCAAACCTGACATCCACTACCATGTGCTTCGTAAGTAGCAAGCCTTGCGTCAAGTACCTTGTCTATCGTAGGCTGAGTGCCCAGTCAGTTGGATTTACCAAGCCGAAAGTTATGTACCAAGTCAGAGGAAAGTGCCCAGACTAAGGTTTTATACAGAGTAGATGTTGAGCACCACGGCTTGGGTTAACACTCGTGTCCATGGTAAGTACCAAGTCTAGGTTTGGGATATGTACCAAACCTGATGTTCACTACCATGTGCATCGTAAGTGGCAAGCCTTGCGTCAAGTAACCTACCATGCTCGCAATATTTCGTTGCATGTGTTTTGTGTGCTACATTGTTTGTATGGTTGGTTGGGTTTGCATGACTTTGCATGTTCATCTTGTGCTTGTGCAGATGTGCTTGGATTGTGCATGACATCAAGCTCATTCCAACAAGCCAAGAATTGTTGGAATGGGAGCACATATGAAGAAGTTACGAAGAAATGTTTGATGGATTTGTTACAACTCATTGGAAGTCCTTGTCAGCTGCTACTCCAAAGTTGGAGAGCCCTATAACGAAGAGGGACCAGCATGTGTGGGACTTTTGTCCCCACCTTGCAGCTGCAGCATTTGGGGTTTGGAGGCCAACCTGGTACAGTGTGAATTTTGTCTTGCCAGGCTGGCTGAACTTGAGGATGGAGAGTCAAGGCTTTGACTCTTGTCATGTTCTTGACCATGGGCCTCCAGGGTCCTTCCCTTTCATCCTTCCCTTCCTACCCCACCTTCCAACTGTGCTTCAATGCCTTTTCCATCGTGCCTCTGAACTTGTAAGCTTCAATTATAGTGACTCTGAGGACTGTCAATTTCTCATAGGGCAGATTACCCCCAGTGCGCCAAACGCCATAGCTCACTCGTTAAGCTACATAATTAAGTTATTCAAATGTCAGTGGAAAGCTGACGTTGCAAGCTACAACATATCCGATTTTCAGATCGTTTCACTGATTGGAAGTTGGATATAGCTTTTCGAAGGTCGCAAGTTTTCAGGGCGTCATAACGAAGTGCTGCAGAAATTTCCAAGGAGCCATTGAATCATCTGCTTATAGCCTTCTCTAACCAGCAAGTGGTATCAGAGCTCATTATTACGCATTTGGGACCTAAAATACGATGGGAGATAAGGAGGACTCTGGTGGAGGTGATACTTCAGTCCAAGGAGGCAGCTCAACCCAAGATTCTGGCATTGCAGCGCAAAGGGGAGATCGTACAAGCTAGGGGTCACTGCTTAAGGAGGTGCTGAAGAACTTCACCATTGAGAAGTTTTCTGGAGATGGCTATGATGATTGGGCATGGAAGATGCAGCTCTACTTTCGACAAATTGGCCTCTTGAAGCTCATGATTGGAATTGAGCCAAGGCCAAAGGAAATGGCAGAGCAAGCGGACTGGGATGAACGTTCATCTGCTGGGTATTATCTACTGTCACAAAGCTTGGAGCTGAACCAGAGGCCGCACATCATGCATCTGCTACCGGAAATTGATTGTGGGCCCAAGGCATGGGCAGTGCTCAAGGACCTGCATGCTCCGACATCGGTTGCCGCTTCTCTCATGCTGGATCGGGAGCTGTCCATGCTGCGGTTGAGCGAGAATGAACCTGTGCAGCCCGTACTGGACAAGATGAGGGAACTCTACGCGAAATTGGCGATTGCAGGCATCACGTACCCTGAGCAGACTAAGTGTCTCAAGATGCTCAGCCTGCTGTCCGAGTCTTGGCTGCAATTTATAAGCGGACTCAGCTTGCCACAAAACCAAAGTCCATGGACATTGGAGTGGATTTGCACCAAGATTCTGGAAGAAGATTTTCGTCGCTATACATTGCGCGAAGGTGATGACAGCACCAGCGGCTATGCCATGCAAGGGACATGGAGGGATCGAGGGCGTGGCAATCGCGGTCGCTCTTACTACAGCCAAGGTGGTCGCGGGACTTGGAACCAGCGGGGGTGTGGTGGTGCTGGTGCAAGAGGAAGAGGTGGTCACTCCAACAATGACAACAGTGAACCACGCTTGAGGGGAGAGTGCTGGTATTGCAAGGAAGAAGGGCATCCATGGTTTCGCTGCTCTACCAAGCCCGACTGGTTGGCCCCCTTGGAACCAATCGCAAATGGGGAATGGAGGAAAGCAACCACATGGAGGTGCCAATATGGTAGCTGATCCTGCTGAAGAAACCTCCAAGGATGACAGAGGAATGGGAAATGAGGAGAGGACTGCTGGACAGTTCTACCATGTGTGTGACAAAGATGACAGTGGCACAGCTATTGCAAGGGCTGGAGAGGAATTGCACCCGCTTGACATGTGGGTCATGGACTCTGGTGCTACATGGACAATGACACCACACAAGGACTTGCTGGATGCTGTGCGAGCACCTCCAATCTCTGAAGTGCGCTCAGCATCCGTACATGCAGTGAAGGTCGCTGGAGTTGGTCGAGCTGCATTCAGAGCACCTGATGGTGGACTGGTTGTGCTGAAGGACGTGTTACTCGTACTGGGGCTGAAGGCCAATCTGATATCGCTGCGCAAGCTAGGCCAGGCCGGAGTCAGCACCACCACCAATGGATCCAAAACATTCAAGGGGCTGCGAGGAGATCGTGTGTTATGGGATTTACACGAAAGCAGAGATGTCTTCAGATCCATGTGGCAGATCCCTGCGCTGATATGGGAATCAACAAGGAAGGAGTTGGGAGCAGTAAAGGCGGGATCTCTAGTCCAAGGGAAGTGCAATGCACTTAGTGCTGCAGGAGTGACGGTTTCTGCAAGGTCGGGGGAGACTGATTGGGAAACCGCACACAGGCGTCTAGGGCATGTGGCTATGCCATTGCTGCAGCAACTGCATAAGGAAGAAGCAGTAAAGGGGCTGAAGCTTTCTGGGCAACCAAATGATACCAAGTGCGAGACGTGTCTGCTGAGCAAGTTCACACGGTTCCCCTTTCACGGCATAGCTGGGAAAACCAAGGTAGCACTGGAACTGGTGCACATGGACCTGGTAGGACCTTTTCCAGTTCGAGGAAGTAAGGGGGAAAGGTACTTCCTGACAATAGTTGATGACTGTGTTGTGTGATGTCATCATATGCTATCACATTCTGTCTGCCTCCCATCCCATGTTTTTTCAACTTGCATGTGTGGTTTGAATGTGCAAGCATTTGTGTGTGGTGTGTTCTGGAGTTTGGGAATGTGTTCTGTGTTATTTTTGTTTGAGCAGGTATTTGTGATAATAGATCTTGAGAAGATCTTTCCGACGCAACAAGAATCGCTTCAATCGGAGCAAGAACGCGAAAGCTATGAAGATTCAAAGTTCATGAGCTTGCGTTACAATTGCGGCGGTTACAAAGTGAAGTTGTGGGGTGACTTTATATGGAGTTGGGACCTTTGGGGTTGGGGAAATTTGTCACTCTACTGTAACAGCTGCAAATTGGTTGGGAACAACCAAGCTAGGTTGGCAAGGGTGGCCAACTTGGATGGATTGGTTGGGAAGGGACAAATGTCAAAATTGGGGTTCCTATAGGGAGGGAATCTTTGTGCTTATGGGGTTTCCTTGGTTGGGGACTCTCTTGGGACCTTCCCTCTCGTCCCTCTCTTTCTATCCCAACCTTTCTCTTGCTCCTTCTAATTCCTTGTGAGATTCTTGAACTTTGATTGAACCTTTTGAGATTGAGTTAAGTTCTCCTCCTACAGCTTACCCCCTAATGCGTCGAAAGCCATAACGTCGCGAATACTTCAGCAATCAACGTGATTCAAATTGGGAAAGGTAGCTGAGATTAAGAGCTACAACATATCCAAGTTTCGCGACATTCCAACGGCTAGTTTTTAGTCGAAGTCGTTTCTTGTGAAGACGACTTTTCTGTCCAGAATTTCGGATTTATATTTTGAGTAATTCTAGCTCCTAAGTTCACCTAGACTCCGTCCTTAATCCTAACAAGTGGTATCAGAGCAATATTAAGGACATTGAGAGGAGTCTACAGAAGTTTGAAGACCCTTCTAGACCCACCATGGCCTGTGGGTGTGCCTAAGTGGTGTTCTAAAGGTTGGATGTGACTTCCGCTAAGGGGAAACTCTGCCGAAATTTCGTGGAGGCTGACACTTGTGAAAATATCGAGGGAGCTGAGTGTGGACAGCAAAGGGGAGCTGAAATTCGTCATTTCTCAAGGAGGAGATGAATGAGAGAGGAGGAGATGCTAATGGAAGAGGAGCTGTAGCTGAGAAGGCAAGTGAGCCGCCGCAATCAAAAGTTGAAGCTTTGGATGGCTCCAACTATGAGGAATGGAGCGGACGGATGAGGAGTGCCTTCAAACGCTACAAGCTACTGAAGATTGCTGTTGGGGAAGAGAAGATGCCGGAAGAAGGCGAAGCACGCGAACGGTGGATTGAGAAAAGCGCGGTGCTTTTCGACCTCATTCTTCAATCGGTCAACAAGGAGATGTTCGAGCACATCAAGGATCTTGTGGAAGCGGATGATTCGGGTCCAAGGGCGTGGAAACTACTACGCGATGTGATTCAGCCCAACACTCTCCCAATGGTGATCGTGCTCGAGAAGGAACTTGCTGCCATCTCCATGCGACCAGGGGATGATGTGAAGCCGGTCCTTGACAAGATCAAGGACACCTATGCAAGGATGGCAGCAGCGGGCAGTAGTGTATCTCAGCTGCAGCAGTGCACCAAGATCATCTCGGTGTTGGACAACTCTTGGGACAACCTCATCCCCACCCTCAACTCTCAGCAAGATCAATGGACACCTGAGTGGCTAAGGCAGCAGATTCTGCAGGAGGACTTCCGCAGACGCCATGTGGGAGGCGGTGCTGCCACTAAGACTGCTGAGGGGTATGGAGCTGCAGGGCGCAGCAGAGGAAGAGGGGGTTGGAGAGGCCGAGGCCGTGGGAGGAGCTTTGGCAGAGGTAGAGGCCGAGGTGACTATAATGAGGGGCATGGAAGCTCCAGTGGCAGGGGGAGTACCAGAATGGAGGGCACCTGCTGGTACTGCAAGAAGGTCGGGCATCCTTGGTTCAAGTGCTTCAGCAGGCCGGAGGGATGGTCACCTCCAGGCATGAAGCCGCCCAGTGGTGAACGTGCACAAGGTGGCGCTGTGCAAGGCTCAGGTGCACAAGGTGAAGGTGCACAAGGTAATGCCTATCCTGGGATGTTTCTCATGGTTGAGGATGTGCATGGGCATGAGGGTGATGTGGGATCTGTGGGAAAGGTTGTGATGCACCCTCTCATGCACTGGGTGATTGATTCGGGTTGCATCAGTCACATGACCCCACGGGCAGATTTGCTTGATGAGGTAAAACCCCCTGGGAAGATCAAGTATGTGGCAGCAGCGTCAGGTGCTTTGCTCCCTGTGATTGGCGTTGGGAATGCCAAGGTTAAGGGAGCTAATGGGGAGCTTGTGGGGCTTGGGAATGTTCTGCTAGTTGAAGGTTTGTCTGCTAACCTTCTCTCTGTGCGGCGACTGCAGAAGAGCAAGGCCGAAGTGACCTTTGGACCAACCAGCTGCCGTGCTAAGCTTGGGAAGAAGGTGCTGTGGAGTCTGGAAGAGGAGACCAGCTGCATCAAGGACCTATGGCAGCTGCCCATCATCCCTTGGAATGGGAAGACTCCAACAACAGCAACGGCAGCAGCGGCAAAGGCAACAGCAGGAGGAGATGCAACTGCACCAACTGATGGGGTCCTGGAAGCAGTCAAGAAAGTGCAGAAGCAGCAGACACATGGTGAGGTGCTTGCTGGTGTGGATGCGAGTGCGGCATGTGCTAAGGCTTCATCAAGGAGTGGAGAGGCCGATTGGGAGACATGGCATGAGAGGTTGTGTCATGTGAACTTCCCTATGCTGCAGAAGTTGGTGAAGAATGGGAGCCTGAAGGGCTTGGAGGTGAAAGGGGAAGTGAAGGAGATTGGGAGCTGTCCTACATGCTTGGAGACCAAGTTCTCCAAGTTCCCCTTCAACAGCACTACAGGACCAGCCAAGACCCCACTTGCACTTGTGCACATGGATGTGGTGGGGCCCACAAGAGCCCCTTCCCTCTTAGGCAGCCGCTATTTCTTGACAATTGTAGATGACCACACTCGGGCAGTGTGGGTTTACCCTTTGAAGAGCAAGGGGGAGGTGGCAGCGGCTGTCCTTAAGGAATGGATGCCTAGAGCTCAGAGGGAATGCGGACACAAGGTGAAGGTGATCCGCAGTGACAATGGTGGGGAGTTCATTGGAGCTGATTTTGAGGGGGAGTTGAAGAGAAAGGGGATCCAACATCAACTGACAGTGCCCTACAACCCGCAGCAGAATGGCGTGGCTGAGAGGTTCAACAGGACCCTGCAGGAGGGGGCACGCACTCTCCTTGGGCGTGCAGGGCTGCCTGATCCGTTTTGGGTGTCTGCACTGAGGCAGGTCGCCCTTGTGAAGAACAGGGTGCTGGCTACAGTTGGAGATAAGGAGTGGATCCCATATGTCAAGTGGTATGGGAGTGCTCCAGCTGTGAACATGCTGAGGGCATTTGGGTGCATGGTGGTGTTTCATGTGCCTAAGGAGAAAAGGGGGAAGTTGGAGGCTTCTGGAAGATGGGGTGTGCACTTGGGGATTGCAAAGGATCACAAGGGGTGGCTGCTATGGGACTTGACCACCCAGAAGTTGACAGTGTCAAGGGATGTGAAGTTTCTTGAGTCCCTGTACTACAAGGAATGGAAGCAGCAGCAACAGAAGCTTCCATCTACACCGCTCATTGTGGAGGCAGATGAGGTGCAGCAGCCTTCAAGACAGGTGGAGGTTGCAGTGTCAGAGGAGGAGATGTCTGGGGTGACTGAGGAAGGGGGAGCAGCTGAGGTGGAGCAGCAGCAGCAGCATGAATCTCCACCTCGAGTTCCACACCCGCCTGAGCGTCCTAGGAGGGATGTGCGCCCTCCTGTGAGGCTGACCTATGGGGGAAGAGGCAAGCCGAATGTGGTGCAGGCTGGGAGTGTGGTTGAGCAGATTGAGGAAGATGAGATCGCTCACTGCTACTGGGCACCAATCCCTGAGTACATGGCCTTACACCATGGGGCCAAGGAAGTAGTGTGGCTAAGGCGTTTGTTGGAGGAGTTGGGAGTTGGTCAGGAGAAGCCGACAGTTGTGTTTTGTGACAATGAGTCCGCTGTGAAGCTCGCCAAGAATGCTTGTCTGCATGGGCTGACAAAACACATAAGGCCTAAGTGGCATTGGGTGAGGAGAATCCTTGATAAGGAGGTGCGGCTGGAGATAGTGAAGACCCATCAGCAGGCAGCAGATATTTTCACTAAGCGTCTGGCGGAGGCGGATCATTGGAAAGGCATGAAGCTTGCTGGAATGAGTGTGCATTGAGTATGCATGCTTGAGATGTTGGTATGGTGGTTGATGGTTGGCAGCCAGAGGGGGAGATTGTTGTGTGATGTCATCATATGCTATCACATTCTGTCTGCCTCCCATCCCATGTTTTTTCAACTTGCATGTGTGGTTTGAATGTGCAAGCATTTGTGTGTGGTGTGTTCTGGAGTTTGGGAATGTGTTCTGTGTTATTTTTGTTTGAGCAGGTATTTGTGATAATAGATCTTGAGAAGATCTTTCCGACGCAACAAGAATCGCTTCAATCGGAGCAAGAACGCGAAAGCTATGAAGATTCAAAGTTCATGAGCTTGCGTTACAATTGCGGCGGTTACAAAGTGAAGTTGTGGGGTGACTTTATATGGAGTTGGGACCTTTGGGGTTGGGGAAATTTGTCACTCTACTGTAACAGCTGCAAATTGGTTGGGAACAACCAAGCTAGGTTGGCAAGGGTGGCCAACTTGGATGGATTGGTTGGGAAGGGACAAATGTCAAAATTGGGGTTCCTATAGGGAGGGAATCTTTGTGCTTATGGGGTTTCCTTGGTTGGGGACTCTCTTGGGACCTTCCCTCTCGTCCCTCTCTTTCTATCCCAACCTTTCTCTTGCTCCTTCTAATTCCTTGTGAGATTCTTGAACTTTGATTGAACCTTTTGAGATTGAGTTAAGTTCTCCTCCTACAGCTTACCCCCTAATGCGTCGAAAGCCATAACGTCGCGAATACTTCAGCAATCAACGTGATTCAAATTGGGAAAGGTAGCTGAGATTAAGAGCTACAACATATCCAAGTTTCGCGACATTCCAACGGCTAGTTTTTAGTCGAAGTCGTTTCTTGTGAAGACGACTTTTCTGTCCAGAATTTCGGATTTATATTTTGAGTAATTCTAGCTCCTAAGTTCACCTAGACTCCGTCCTTAATCCTAACAGACTGGAGTCGGCTGATGTGGGCATACCCATTGAAGCAGAAGGATCATGCTGCCTCAACAATACGAGATGGCTGGCTGCCGTTCGTCGAGCGACAATCTGGGCACCCATGCAAGAGCATCAGAACCGACCGAGGTGGAGAGTTTCTAGGAGGAGATCTGACTGCGTAGCTCAAGAAACAAGGCATTGAGCATCAGCTAACGACGTCCTATACCCCTCAGTCAAATGGCGTTGCTGAGAGGCCTAATAGGACCATCCTGGAAACTGCGCGAGCGCTGCTGATCGAATCAGGGCTGGAGAACTCCATGTGGCCTCATGCGGTGAGGCATGCTGCAGTGGCAAGGAACCGCATACTCACAAAGGTGGCTGATGATATGTGGGTGCCGCTGGAGAGGTGGCTTGGAAAGAAGCCTCCCGTGGACATGCTTAGAGTGTTCGGATGCATGGAAGTGGCGCATGTCCCTAAACCGTACAGGACAAAGCTTGGAGCATCTGCACTGTGGTGTGTGCACCTTGGGCTTGTGGCAGAGAGCAAGGGGTGTCTACTGTGGGAGCCCTCGAAGAATGTGTTGTTTGATAGTCGGGATGTCAAATATGTGGAGAACATCATGTATGGCAAGTGGGAGAAGCAGCCGGAGGCAAGGGTCACCCAGCAGCTGGAAGAGATCACTAAGCACTTCGATTTGTCCGAACCTGAGGACAGCGAAGTCACTGCGCCACCAGCAAGCGGTACTGATGAAGGAAGCAATGAGGATATTGCAGCTGATGCTGAAGTCAAGGATCCGGTGCAGTAGCAGCAAGAGGCTTCCAAAACACCAAGTCTGCCAAAGCGAAGGAAACAGATTGGTGGGGGGACAAAGGATTGGGTGAAGGTGAAAGAATGGGTAAATCCAACCATCTACCCTGCACGTACCAGAATGGCAACGAGAAAGCTGCTGAGCTCTACAAGTGGAGGAGCCACAACTGAGCAGCAAGAACAGGCTCAAGGCGAAGATGCAGTGCTGTTCTTGGGTGATGACCAAGAGTCAGATGACGAGGAGCCTGCATACTGCTTTTACGCACCAATACAACCTCCGAGCATGGATCATGCGCTAGCCGGGCCTCAACGGGGGAAGTGGCTCGTTTCAAGAGATGAAGAGTACAACAGCCAGATGGAGAATCACACATGGGACCTGGTGTACTTGCCAAATGGGAAGAAGGCAATACAGTGCAAGTGGCTGGCAAAAATCAAGACGGATGAGAAAGGAGAGCCATCAGTTTACAAGAGCAGGCTGGTGGCAAAGGGGTTTCAGCAGAAAGAGAAGGAAGATTATAAAGAAGTGTTTGCCCCAACTGCTAAGTCTCCAATGCTACGTGTGCTGCTGGCGGTAGCTGCTGTGTGCAAATGGAAGGTGAAGCAGATGGACATCGTAACCACTTTTCTGTACGGTATTGTGGAAGAGGAGGTGTACATGGTTCAACCACCTGGCTATGAGGATGGAACCGGTCGTGTTTGCAAACTTAACAAGGCCATCTATGGCTTGAAGCAGGCCCCAAGATGCTGGTACAACAGGCTGGCCAGTGCACTGGAAGGGATTGGATTCCGTGCGAGTGCATGCGACGAGAGCCTATTCCTGATGGGCGAGAGGGAGTCACTTGTGCTTCTGCTGGTGTACGTGGATGACATCCTGCTCTTCAGCAGCAGTGACAAGGAGATCGATGGGGTGCAGCGGAAGCTCACAGAGCAGTTCAAGTGCAAGTCACTTGGAGAGGAAAGGTACTATCTGGGAATGCACATTGAGCGGGATACTGAACGTGGCTGGCTCAAACTGCATCAGGGACAGTACATCAACACCTTGGCTGAGAAGTACTGTCTGCAGGAAGAACGGGAAGTGGTCACACCTTTGCCTTCCGAGTTCAAACTCATAAAGGCAGCTGAAGGAGAAGGAGTTGAGTGTGAAGACCAGAGGCAATTCCAATCCATGGACGGGAGCCTAATCTACGCTGTTGTGCATACTCGGCCTGACACCAGCTTTGCTGTGGGACAACTGGCTCGAGTAGTGCAAAATCCAACAGAAGAGCAGTGTGGTGCAGCGGAGAGAGTGGTGCGCTACCTCAAGTCATAACCTACAGTGGGAGTACAGTATCCAGCCTCTGCTCAACTCAGTCAAAAAGGAGTTGAAGTCCTCAAAGAGAAGGGGGAGCAGCTTGGAGAAGGAAAGGTGTTCCTTTCCTGTTTTGCTGATGCCACGTGGGCTTCTGAGCATGAGGATTCATCATCAGTTGGTAGATACATCTGCATGGTGGGAGGTGGGCCTGTAAGTTGGAGGTCCAAGAAGCAGTCTGAAACAGCACTATCTTCAGTGGAATCTGAGTACATGGCGATGTTTCATGTTGCAAAAGAAATCATTTGGCTAAGGAGGCTCTTGAAGGAGATCGGCCATGAACAGACTTGTGCGACACCTCTGTTCAGTGATAGCAAGGGAGCCATTGCCATGGCACGCAATGCAGTTCTTCATGGGTTGAACAAGCACATGAGGATCAAGTGGCATTGGCTGCGGAAGGAGGTGAAGCTTGGGACACTGGATCCGATCTACGTGAAAACTCAGCAACAGCCAGCCGACTTCCTTACCAAGCGGCTAGCTGAAGAGCCACACTGGCGATGTGCGAGGATGGCGGGAATGTCCTTGAACTAGAGACGGCGAAACAAGCCGACAGTCTGATGTGCAGTGTGTTGGTGCATATTCGTTTGCACGTCATCCTGTCGAACGTTCGCATCATTTCGCTGCATGTGTTTTGTGTGCTACATTGTTTGTATGGTTTGTTGGGTTTGCATGTCTTTGCATGTTCATCTTGTGCTTGTGCAGATGTGCTTGGATTGTGCATGACATCGAGCACATTCCAACGAGCCAAGAATTGTTGGAATCGGAGCACATATGAAGAAGTTACGAAGAAATGTTTGATGGATTTGTTACAACTCATTGGAAGTCCTTGTCAGCTACTACACAAAAGTTGGAGAGCCCTATAATGAGGAGGGACCAGCATGTGTGGGACTTTTGTCCCCACCTTGCAGCTGCAGCATTTGGGGTTTGGAGGCCAACATGGCACAGTGTGAATTTTGTCTTGCCAAGCTGGCTGAACTTGAGGATTGGGAGTCAAGACTTTGACTCTTGTCATGTTCTTGACCATGGGCCTCCAGGGTCCTTCCCTTTCGTCCTTCCCTTCCTACCCCACCTTCCAACTGTGCTTCAATGCCTTTTCCATCATGCCTCTGAACTTGTAAGCTTCAATTATAGTGACTCTGAGCACTGTCAATTTCTCCTAGGGCAGATTACCCCCCAGTGCGCCAAACGCCATAGCTCACTCGTTAAGCTACAGAATCAAGTGATTCAACTCTCATTAGAAAGCTTACACTGCACGCTACAACATATCCGATGTTCAGATCGTTTCACCGATTGGAGTTTTGGATATAGCTTTTCGAAGGTCGCAAGTTTTCAGGGCGTCATAACGAAGTGCTGCAGAAATTTCCAAGGAGCCATTGAATCATCTGCTTATAGCCTTCTCTAACCAACATAGGTTTGAAATCAGTACCAAACCTGACATTCACTACCATTTGCGTCGTAAGTAACAAGCGTTGCGTCAAGTACCTTGTCTATGGTTAGACCCATGACCAAGGTTGAGTTCCGAGTCAGTTGGATTTACCAAGCCGAAAGTTAGGTACCAAGTCAGAGGTAAGTGCCAAGACTAAGGTTTTATACCGAGTAGATGTTGAGCACCACGGCTTGGGTTCACACTCGTGACCATGGTTAGTACCAAGTCTAGGTTTGGAATATGTACCAAACCTGACGTTCACTACCATGTGCATCGTAAGTAGCAAGCCTTTCGTCAAGTTCCTTGTCTATGGTTGGACCTATGACCAAGGTTGAGTATCCAGTCAGTTGGATTTACCAAGCCGAAAGTTAGGTACCACGTCAGAGGTAAGTGCCAAGACTAAGGTTTTATACCGAGTGGATGTTGAGCACCACGGCTTGGGTTAACTCCCAAGGCGTGGGACCAAAGCCACTCGTCATCAGGCTTAAGCCAAACCAATATGGTAAAAGCAATCACCTCCAGATTGGCGGCCACCGCCCTAGAAGCTGTTTGCCAAACCGGAAAACAGTAGCCATCTGACAAACAACATCAGCCATACCACTAACAGTTTTCCAACACACCTAGATTGGCTGTCTCGTCGACATAGCCTTGGCCGAACCCGAAAACTGTAGGCAACCGAGACGAGACATCAGCCACACCACTTGCACGGTGCAAGTGCACACAGATTGGAAGCCGGGGCCGAGAGAGCCCCACAACAACCGTAAATCATGACACTAATGGCCAGCAAACACCCCGGACCAACCAAACTGTCCCGGAAAGCAAACGCTAACAGAGGCGAGCGTTATGGGCAGATGAGCGCATGCATAGGGTGAGGATGTGGTGTGCTCTTAGCCAGTAGGACAGGCATGCTTGAGGCGGCATGATGTGAAAAGATCTCACCAAGAGAGGTAGAGGGCTCACTAACAATCACAACCCTAAAGTGTCAGCATTTGGGAAAGGCATGAGCATCCCTGATGGCACATGGAGGAAGGACGACTAAGAAGGCATAATTGAGCCAAATGAACATATGTTGGTGTGTGGCTGATCAATGCGAAGGACCATGGCCTCCAATCTAGCGCCATACCGAGACATGGCATGGTTCCCGCTGGAGGAAGGGAATTTCAAGAACCACGAGGTCTAGGGTTTGAGTGACAGATCCGCAGGAAACCAGAATGGAGTAAGCCCACTAACCAGCGTACCTCACTCTTGTCGGAATCGGGTTGGATGTTGGGGATGCAGGAGTAGCAAGATGGTGCTTGTAGTCGCCAATCCTAGTGACAAACGGGGGGGAAGGGGGGGTCTGGGAAGATAAGCCAGGAATTGGACACTGACAGAGTGTGACATCACATGTCTACCAGTCGGTGTGTGACACCACGTAGCTGGCACCGAAGGGCCAGGGTACACCGCCAGAGTGAGAGCCTATTGATGAGGCAATGAACTCACCGGACTGGTAATTTACAAGGGCGTTTGAATGGTGCGTGCACCGCAGATGCAGCTGGCTACTTTGAGCACTGTTGGTGGAATCATCTGTGGGTTGCAGTGAGGGGATTATGGAAATGGGCACATGCATTAGAAAGGACGTAACAGCCCAGTCCAACCACATACTGGGGGAGGCGGTGTCACGCGCAGAGGGGACGTAATTGAGGGGTGGTGCGCTGTTTGGACTGTGCCCATGATGTTGGGATGACCCTCCTACCAGCGCTGGTGAATGCAAAAATGCATGAGGCAGGGGTTTCTGGTGGTTAGACCCCCCGTCAGTGGTATGATGGGCTGGCGTGATTGGCACAACCGTAGTGGATGTGGCACCCGTCGCCCCCACAATCGCCGTCGCACCCAAAACATCTTCGGCCATACCACTAGGCAGCGCACCCTCCACCACACCCACGCTGTGCGGGGCATCTTCAAGTGCCTCTACAGCCTCGGCCGCACCCACGAATACAAAGCCCTGCTCAACCTCCTCCCTCGCATTCCTTGCCTCTACCACAACATTCCCCCCCTCCACCCGCACATCCCCCGCATCCTCACTCACATCCTCCGCCTCCCCTCCCACATTTCCAGCCACCACCCCCTCATTTGCCGCCGCCTCTGCGTCCACGTCCCCATCCACCAGCTTACGCCAGCGTGCCAGCACCTCATCCCGCCAAGTCCAATCCATTTTCTCGAGCACCCTGTCCTTTTTCCCCCTCTTCACTCGTGTTGCCTTTCTTATCCTCACCTTCCACTCCCTCACCACCCGATGTATTGAGTGGTCCCAGTGGAGCATAGTGAGGGCCACTAGTGGCTCCATGCTAGCGAGAAGAGAGAGGCGCTTAGGTATATCTTGTGATCAAGCTGTGGAACAACTCATTCACCCAGTTACTAGCCCCTTGCATGCATGGCGCCATATGGGCTGCCCCGCAATTGTCCTTGATCCACTTCTTGAACCTCTTGTGAGTTGTCGAGTCAGGTTCGTACAAAGCGCTTTCCTCCCCCCACCATTCAGCTACGCAGCGTGGAGAAGCCGCACCACGGCAATGGGTGTATACACCCGCCCAGTGGTCCGCACAAACATCTGTCTCTCGCCTCCTCTTTGGGGGTCATTGGCCGCCCGGCTTGAGCGGCAGAAGAGCAACGCAGCATCACATGATGGAAGTGGATGCTGAAGCACTGCATCACTATCACCTCATCCGTCACCCAGCTGCCCTTGCCACCCTTATTGCAGCCCTTCTCGCCAGGCCATGCACGCTTACTGTGACCTCGTTCGACACATCGGCGTGGGCACCACCCCCGGCTTGCCGGATGCAGCATCGCCACAGCCTCTGGCGGCACTTCCGTGGTGCCGGCGGATGCATTGTCACCTGCAGCAACATGAGAGAGCAAAGCCATCATTGATTGATCATGAGCACATGTTGGGGACAGTGAAAACAGTTATTGAATGCGCGATATGCTATCAGACCTTCAAATAAAATGGCTTCTTTGGCTGCATCAGGGACGATGTACTCCTCCAAAATGAGGCCGCCATGCTTTCTTGAATGTACTCGTCACACATGTCCTTCGCAGTAGACCTGGGATGCAGATCAAAGTCAAAAAGGGTTGCAGCATCCAGCCATTGAAGGCCCAGCACCTCTCAAACTCATCTCCCCCTTCGTCATCTTCACCGGTCTCCCTGTCTTTCTGCCTTATGGGTGCACCCCCCCCCCCTCCTGCCCACTGCACTGATGCATGCCACGGCTCGACCCCGCCCCCAATGTGGGGTGGTCTACCAGCACAGACCCACATACCCCCTCTACCTGCCCCACTCCCGCATCCATCCCGTGGCTTGAACCCACAGTGACCCCCTCTTCCTCATGGTTCTCTTGGATCTCGTCATCGGTGGATTTCTGTCGTCACTTGATCGCTGCTACCTCACTGTCCGTTGCTCTCCGCATTACCTTGACACTACCCTGTGCATCTCGGGGTACACCCACCTTGGTGGGCTTTTTGCCATAGGGTCGAACGTGATCGTCTTCAGTTGTGTACAAACAACTCTGATCAACGTCTTCTTTGCAGACCACGCGGACACCCGCCGCCCCCCAGACCCATGTTTTTGCACCCAGTCCCAAAGATCCGCATGTGACACCAGCCACAATTCAGCACATGTTTTGGCCTGTGTCACCCGCATGGTACTCCTCTGAGAATCCACAAAATCCTTCACAAACAGCCTTGTGAGTGCTATAACCTTGTACATTTGATGGTTGATGTTCTTACCAACGAGCGCCTTTTTTTAAGAACCCCCATTGTTCGAGATGATGGCTGTTATTTTAAAACCCCGTACTTTCAGCCTCTCTAGGCCCCGCTCAAATGCAATACCTTCCAAAGCAGTGGAGGACACCCCCTCCATCTTCTAGGACACTGTCAAACAAAGTAATATTTTGCGAGACCTAGGGTTTCGTGAATGTGACTATGCACCACTGCCCCTCTCTTACCTGCAACCACCTGCCGTCCACGCATATGTACCCATCTACCCCACCAGCTGTGACCTCCGCCTCCGAATGCTATTCCTCACTTCTGCCATGCTATTATCACCTTACAGTATCATTGCCTCCCACAGTCCATACCCGATGCATGTAACGATAGAAAGTCTCCTACCCAATCAGCTTAATACCCAGCATTCGACTAACCTGAATCATGTGTGAGAAGCCAAGACCAGCCAGGGCGAAGGCCCCCAAGAAACAAGGAAGCAAAAGTGAGGACTTTGGCCTTGCTTGTTAACGCACCGTGTTACCTTGCCCCGTTCCGTTGACCAGAATACTGTTGGTGCAACCCTATGGCTTGCACTCGGCTTGTCGTCCTTGTTTGTGTGTGTGCATGCATGGCATGGAATGAATTGTGAGTCTATGTCATTGATCTCTAGTGCTTGTGTGTGTGTTTGAATGGTGTATCACAATGTGGTTTGTGTCGGTCAAGACATTAGCGAGTTTTTACAACTCGCATGTCAAGTCGTCGTTTGTGTGTCGCATGTGTTTTTTCTATTTTGTCGAGTGTGAAGTGTCCATCGTATCGCAGGTGTGTGCAGCAAGCCCCCATCAACTCAAGAAGAATATATCTTGCAGATCCAAGAACAAGAGCTCAAGATTTCAAGCCCAAGGGACGCGGATAAATATTAAATAGTGAAAATAGTAACGTTACTTCGTGTAGTGTTACATTTCACTTGGTGTAGCCCCTTGGAGGGTTGGTTTCGAGACTCTTCATGGTTGGGGACTCTGTGGTGGTGTACCACCAACCTGGACCTCGGCTCCTGGGGTATGTAGAGGCTGGGAACCAACTCCCTCTCGAACTCTTCTTGCTAAGTTTGTACTTCCAAGACTATAGTGGCTGCTATACCTCCTGCCAGTCAAACCGCCATAGCGTCGTCAAATCTTCATGGAATTTCATGATTCAACTTGCTGCTGATAGACGACAGCAACGCGCTCCAGATCCAATTTACACGTGACAGTTTGACTCAGCCAGCAGATCGTTATCAATATTTGAAGCCGTCTGACGGAAATCCGACTGTGCTCTCTATCTCTCATTATAGGCACATCTAAGCCTATTGTGATTATAACAAGTGGTATCAGAGCCCCTTGGAGCCGTCTCGACCATGCCTAGACCTGAGGAAGGGGGTGGCAGAGGTGCTGGAGGCAGAGATGACGCCCAAGCACAAGGTCAACACCAAGATCCACCCGTTGCTCCGGTGCAACCTAGCCTTGGACCCTCTAGGGATGAGCCTAGAGTGTTTGGCCTTGACAAGTTCAACGGTGACAACTTTGCTGAGTGGTCCTTCAAGATGGAGAACATCTTTAACCACTATGATCTGCTGGAGGTGATGGAAGGAACGGAGAAGCGCCCCGAGAACGACCCGGAGAAGAGCCCGTGGGTGCGGAAGAGCGCACAAGGCTACCTTCTACTTGGGCAAGCGTTGGGGAGCAGCCAAATCCGTCACATCAAGCCTTTTCAGCGTGAACCAGCAAAAGGACCAAAGGCATGGGCTGCTCTCAAGGGTGTACACGCTCCTGCAACAGCGGCGGTGGCTGTGGTTTTGGAGCGGCAAATGGCGGCACTTCGAATTGACGAAGGCGAACCGGTGGAGGAAGGAGTGCAGAAATTCTTCGACTTGTTGACACGGCTCGAAGGAGCTGACCTGAACTACAGTGACCTTCAAAAGAAGACCAAGCTACTAGCCTTACTTCCGGACTCATGGTCCTCGCTCATCATCAACCTAAATCGAGATCTGCCCCGTCTCTCACTCGAAGATGTGAAGCGGGAAATCTTACAAGAAGATTTCCGCCGTCGCGAATTGGCGGGTCCCGATGGTGCCGCAGTTGCAAGCATGGGCCACGGGCACGGCCGTGGAAGGGGCAGAGGGCGAGGAGGAAGGTTTGGCAGCAGTAACTTCAATGGAGGCCGTGGTAATGGAGGATATGGCAGCAACAACAACAACAATGGCTACGGGCGTGGGCGCGGTCGATTTGATGGCGAATGCCACTTTTGCCACAAGACCGGCCACATGTGGAGAGATTGTTTCAGAATGCCTGATGGAAGGCACCACTTGATGAGGTGGTGATGGATGTGGTGGGCCCCTTGAAGCTTGGATCTGCTGGAGCAGAGTACTTCCTCACCATTGTGGACATCTACACTCGCATGACCTGGGTGTATGTGCTGCCCAAGAAGAGTGACGTAGCTGAGACGGTGAAGACCGATTGGTTGCCGATGGTGGAGCGGCAACAAGACCGACTTGTGAAGGCGATTCGCACTGACCGTGGGGGAGAGTTCCTGAGCAAGGATTTCTCAACATGGCTGAAGAAGCAGGGCATAAGGCACTCTCTTACCATGCCCTACTCTCCTGCAATGAACGGCATCGCCGAGCGAACGAATCGGACACTCACGGAGACGGCTCGGGGACTTCTCATTGAAGCCGGTCTTCCCAATTACTTTTGGCCGGATGCGGTGCGGCATGCTTGTGTGGCCAAGAACAGAGCCTTGACTCATGTGGGAGAAGACAAATGGGTGCCCTATGTGGAGTGGATTGGAAGGAAGCCGAAGGTGGATATGCTTCGGGTGTTTGGGTGCATGTGCATGGCACTTGTGCCTAAGAAACTTCGGCACAACAAGCTTGATGCCAAGGCAACATGGGCCGTGCACCTGGGCATGGCCCAAAACAGCAAGGGATGGCTTCTATGGGACCCATTTACCAAGAAGTTCCTGGTGAGCAGAGATTGCAAGTTCATGGAGAACTTACCGTACAAGGAGTGGAAGGCGGAGAACCAAGCGAAGATTGGTGTGCGGCTTGGAGAGGTGAAAAGGACCGGCTTGGAGCATGTGGAGCTGCCCTTGGAGCTGAGTAGCAGCAGCACAATCACGAGGCAATCTCCCCAAATGAATGGGGATGAGGAGGAGGAGGAGGTGCAGCAAGGTAATGAGCGTGCACCGCCACTTCCGCCTCGTGCTACAAGTGCTCGCGGGAACCGACCGGACTTACCGCAAAGCCATGAGAGCATTCAAGTCCCTGCAGCAGAGGAGGAAGGAAGGGGGAGAAGGAAGACTCAGCCCCCCAAAAGGTTGAGCTATGAACGGCTTGGAGGACCAGCCAACTCAACCTTGACCGGTTCGGCTCTCATGCTAGGTGATGATGCGGAAGATGAAAGCGAGGAGTGCGCTTTTGCCATCTTCTCTCCGGTGGAGGTGCCGGGGAAGCCTACAAATCCCAAGGAGGCTTGGGAGGGCCCCAATGGGAAGGAGTGGAAGAAGGCCTCAGATGAAGAAATGGGGAGCATCATCGAGAACGACACGTTTGACTTGGTGAACCTACCTCCGGGGCGTAAGGCGATTTCTTCCAAGTGGCTCTTCAAGCGCAAGACCGACGCCGACGGCAACATTGAGCGCTACAAGAGGAGACTTGTAGCCAAGGGGTACCAGCAGCAAGAGAAGAAGGACTACAATGAAGTATATGCTCCTGTGGTGAAGGGTACAACCCGTCGAACTCTCTTCACCGCGGCGGCCATCAAAGGATGGGTGGTGAAGCAAATGGACATTGTAACGGCCTTCCTCAACGGCGTTTTGGAGGAAGAGACCTACATGGAGCAGCCAGAGGGGTACAACGATGGGAGTGGCAGAGTGTGGAAGCTGAAGAAAGCACTCTATGGCCTCAAGCAAGCCCCTAGGCAATGGTACATCAAGCTGCGGGAAGTCTTGGAGGCGATCGGCTTCACTCCCTCAACGGCCGATCAATCCTTGTTCATGCTTGGCGAGGGGGAGCAGAGGAGCTTCATGGTGGTTTATGTGGATGACATCCTCATATTCTCACCCTCCTCTGACCTTGTGAAGGAGGTGATGCTGAAACTTCAAGACAAGTTCAAGTGCAAGACCCTTGGTGACGTCAACTACTACCTTGGGCTTCACATTGAGCGAGATGTGGAGAAGCGGTGGATGCGAGTGCATCAAAAGTAGTACTTGGAGGCCTTGGCTGCAAACTTTGGGAAGAGTGAAGGTCATGTGGCTACTCCTCTTCCCTCAGGGTTCAAGTGTGTGAAAGGACCAGCGGAGGAAAGTGTTGGTGAAGAGGAGAGGCGGCGTTTTCACTCCTTGGTGGGCAGCCTCATGTATGCGGCCGTTCACACAAGGCCGGATGCAGCCTTTGCTACTGGGCAGCTGGCTAGGGTTGTCCAATGCCCTAATGAGGAGCAGGTAGCAGCTGGAGAGAGGGTGGCCAAGTACCTTGGCCAAACAGCAACTGTTGGACTGCAATACTCCACGGCGGCACAAAGGTGTCAAAAGGGTGCGGATGGAGTCGAACCCGGGAGGCTCTTTCTCACCGCCTTCTCTAATGCATCTTGGGCATCAGAACCAGAGGATGTGACAAGTGTGGGAGGCTTCATCTGCTGTGTTGGTGGAGGGCCAACAGCTTGGGAGAGCAAGAAACAAGTGGACCAAGCATTGAGCTCGGTGGAGTCCGAGTACATGGCACTCTTTCGTGCCATAACAGAGGTTGTGTGGCAGCGGCTTTTGCTAGCTGAATTGGGGGAGGAGCAGCAAGGACCTACCCCACTCTACTGTGATAGCCAGGGTGCTATTGCATTGGCTAAGAACCCCGTTCTTCATGGCCTTACCAAGCACATGAAGGTGAAGTGGCATTGGGTGAGGAGCATGGTAACCGCGGGTGAAGTGGAGTTGCACTACGTGAAGACGACGGCGCAGCCTGCTGATATGATGACCAAGAGGCTGGTTGAGCAGCAGCATTGGAAGTGTTGCAAGCTTGCAGGGATGGCTCTGAACTAAGGGGAGCAGATTCTAAGGCCAACAATCCGAGGGGGAGTTTGTTGGTGCAACCCTATGGCTTGCACTCGGCTTGTCGTCCTTGTTTGTGTGTGTGCATGCATGGCATGGAATGAATTGTGAGTCTATGTCATTGATATCTAGTGCTTGTGTGTGTGTTTGAATGGTGTATCACAATGTGGTTTGTGTCGGTCAAGACATTAGCGAGGTTTTACAACTCGCATGTCAAGTCGTCGTTTGTGTGTCGCATGTGTTTTTTCTATTTTGTCGAGTGTGAAGTGTCCATCGTGTCGCAGGTGTGTGCAGCAAGCCCCCATCAACTCAAGAAGAATATATCTTGCAGATCCAAGAACAAGAGCTCAAGATTTCAAGCCCAAGGGACGCGGATAAATATTAAATAGTGAAAATAGTAACGTTACTTCGTGTAGTGTTACATTTCACTTGGTGTAGCCCCTTGGAGGGTTGGTTTCGAGACTCTTCATGGTTGGGGACTCTGTGGTGGTGTACCACCAACCTGGACCTCGGCTCTTGGGGTATGTAGAGGCTGGGAACCATCTCCCTCTCAAACTCTTCTTGCTAAGTTTGTACTCCTAAGACTATAGTGGCTGCTATACCTCCTGCCAGTCAAACCGCCATAGCGTCGTCAAATCTTCATGGAATTTCATGATTCAACTTGCTGCTGATAGACGACAGCAACGCGCTCCAGATCCAACTTACAGATCACAGTTTGATTCAGCGACCAGATCGTTATCAATATTTGAAGCCGTCTGACGGAAATCCGACTGTGCTCTCTATCTCTCATTATAGGCACATCTAAGCCTATTGTGATTATAACAAATACCTTCGGGGCATTGCACGTACTGCATACCCAGAGTATGCCAAAGCAAGCCCATTTGACCTTTCAAGATTGCAGGCTGCTGCCTGGCAAGAAAGTAGCCCCATACTTTAAAAAAAAACAGATGAATACTATTGGGTCCAAAAGGCATACCACTCCTTGTGCCAACAGGTGGCCAACTGCATCCATCTACCCTTCTCTTACTTGGGCAGCTAACCACGGGCAGAGAGCTGCACACAAGGCACACATGGACGGGTGTATGAGATGTACTTTATGAGCTGCACGAAAGGCACACATGGCCGTGCAGCATCCCTCAACCTCCCATGCAATTCACGATAGAGGCACCTACCTTGTATGTTCCCCCCCAGCGTTGGTCGGGCTGTTGTTCGCCTGCTCGCCTTCTGATTGGTCGCTGCTTCCATGACGACATCCACTTCTTGATGCTCCTCTGTTGGATTCTGCCCCCCAGGACAGAGGCCGCCCATCCCCTCACGTGGTGCACACACCCGCTGCGCCTCAGCATTTGTTGATGGCAAACCAGCCTCCAACCCAACCGCTCGCTCCAACTCATCTTCTTGGGTGATACCACCCCCTTCCACTCCCAACCCGGGGCGTGCTGTCACTGTCTCTTGGATGTCGGGGCCTGCTGACAGTTGGGTAGAATGGGTTTGACTTGCAAAGTGTGGGGCTCTTGAGAAACAGCAAAGGCAGAAAGCAAAGAGGTGGAGAGGGGGGGGGGGGAGGGGGGGGGGGGGGGGTGGTAACGCTCTTGGCAGGTTCGGTCCACAGCATGGGTTGCTTGGCATGCTGGCAAACACATCTGGCTTAGAGGAGATGGAGCCACTTGAGCTGACTTGGGGGAAGCATGTGCAGTAGCTGGTCATGTGTGCCAGAGCCCATTAAAAATGGGCTGAACATACCCGGTTTGCAGCAGGCAGCGTACCAGCTTCGCGGAGGGCTTCATAGGCCAGCCTAGTGCGTGGGCCACCATGTGCAGATCCCTTGTCTGGCTCCAACTGACCTGTCACCTCATTCAGCTAAGTGTCTTGAAATTGTACTCAAAGCCCCTCGCCTTTTGAGGCTCCCTCTCCAACAGCTGCTGCACTGTAATCTTCTCTCCCTTCAGGTTCGCCTAGAACTGGGCCTCTTGTGTAGTTCGTCGCAGATCTGCTTGCTCTTTTGTGGGAGTTCCATTGCCAACTGAGACACAAGTTGAGGTCCACGTGTTGATTAAGATTTAACCCCGAGGGTATGGCATGAGCACATGTTGGGGACGGCCCTCTTTTGCACCACAAGTAGGTGGGGGATGGTAATGCGTCGGAACCAGGGGGAGTGGAACATGACCCTCAGACTTACCAGCCTTGGCGGCCGCATCAAACTGTGTGTCGACCGCCTTCCCCGCCGTGGCCATCAACACGTACAAGGCGTCATTTATTGACTCCTGCTGGCCCGTGAGGGCAGTCAAGCCGCAGCGCATGATGGAGAGCAGGAACAGCATGTCTGCTCGGTGAGACCATCGAGCAAGCCTGCACATATTCGCCTCCATCCACTTCTGACGCCTCCATTTGCTCATTGCTGTTGGCTCACACAACGTGGCAGGATGGTTGGGCATCAGAGACTGCTTGTGTTCCGGCAAACGTACAGGATGCCTCTCAAACAGACCTTTGACACCATGGAAATTGGCGCTGGTTGGTGGACTTGCCCACCTTGGGTCCATGAGTGAGTCTCCTCGGCCAGTGTCAGGTTGTTGCATGTGTTAGGGCCTTGAGCCTGTGTGGCGTATATCTGCAAATTCAGCGGAGTTGTGAGGTCGGGGCGGGGGACAGTGTCTTACGATGTGGAGTGTTACAGTTACTGCTGTAGTTGTATAATACGTGTTGAGTGTAAGTGCCCTTGCTGTAGTCACCAAAGCTTTGAGTGCTACAGCCATTGCTGTAGTGTCTACAGCTTGAGTGCTGCACCGATTGCTGTAGTCACTACAGCTTTTGAGAGCTACAGCCATTGCTATAGCCACTACAACTTTTGAGTGCTACAGCTATTGCTGCATGCAATACAGTTATTGAGTGTTCCAGCAATTGCTGTAGGGACTACAGCTTTTGAGTGCTACAGCAATTGCTGTTGTCACTATGGATTTTGAGTGCTACAGCCATTGCTACAGGCACTACAGCTATTGAGTGTTACAGCCATTGCTCTAGGCACTAGAGCCTTTGAGTGTTACAGCCATTGCTGTATTCATGGCTGGGATTGACTGCTACAGCCATTGCTGTAGGCATAACAGATTTTGAGTGCTACAGCCATTACTGCAGTCACCACAGCTTTTGAGAGCTACAGCCATTCCTATAACCACTACAGCCTTTGAGTGCTACAGCTATTGCTGCATGCAATACGGTAATGAGTGTTCCAGCAATAGCTGTAGGGACTACAGATTTTGAGTGCTACAGCAATTGCTGTAGTCACAATGGGTTTTGAGTGCTACAGCTATTGCTATAGGCACTACAGCTATCGAGTGTTACAGCCATTGCTGTAGGCACTACAGTTTTTTTGCGCTACAGCCATTGCTGTAGTCGCGGCTGGGATTGAGTGTACAGCCATTGCTGTAGCCACTACAGCCTTTTAGTGCTACAGCCATTGCTGTAGTCACTACAGCGTTTGAGACCTACAGCCATTGCTGTAGGCACTACAGCTTTTGAGTGTAACAGCCATTGCAGTAGTGGCTCACCCTTGTTGAGTGTAAGTGCCATTGCTGTAGACTCTACAGCTTTTCAATGCTACAGCCATTGCTGCATGCACTACAATTTTTCGAGTGTTCCAGCCATTGCTGTAGTGACTTAAGCGTTTGAGTGCTATGGCCATTGCTGTAGTCACTACAAGGTTGAGTGCTACAGCCATTGCTGTAGGCACTACAGCTATTGAGTGTTACAGCCATTGCTGTAGGCAATACATCTTTTGAGTGCTACAGCCATTGCTGTAGTGGGGAGTGAGTGCCGCAGCTGTGTGGGTGGTGAGTTGCGGTGCGCGGTGGGGAGCGTGGCGCAGCTGCATGGGGAGTGAGTGGTGCAGAAGCATGGGGATTGTGTGGTACAGCTGCATGGGGAGTGAGTGGCGCAGCTGCGTGGGGAGTGGATGGCGCAGCTGCCTGGGGAGCGAGTCGTGCATCTGCGTGGGTGGTGAGTCGAGGTCCGCGGCAGGGAGCTTGGCATGGCGGCATGGGGAGTGAGAAGCGCAGCTGCGTGGGGAGTGAGTGGCGCAGCTTCTTGGGTGGTGAGTCGAGTTGCACGGCGTTGAGCTTGGCGTGTCGGCATGGGGAGTGAGGGGAGCAGCTGCGTGGGGAGTGAGTGGCGCAGCTGCTTGGGGAGTGAGTGGCGCTGCTGCGTGGGGAGTGATTGGCGCAGCTGCGTGGGGAGTGAGTGGAGCAGCTGTGTGGGTGGTGAGTCGAGGAGCACGGCGGGCAGCGTGGCATGGCGGCATGGGGATTGAGTGGCGCATCTGCGTGGGGAGTGAGTGGCGCAGCTGCATTGGAAGTGAGTGGCTGCATGGGGAGTGGGTGGAGCAGCTGCATGGGGAGTGAGTAGCACAGCTGTGTGGGGAGTGAGTGACGCAGCTGCGTGGGGAGTGAGTGGTGCAGCTGCGTGGGTGGTGAGTCAAGGTGCGCGGCGGGGAGCTTGGCATGGCGGCATGGGGAGTGAGTGGCGCAGCTGCGTAGGGAGTGATTGGCGCAGCTGCTTGGGCCGTGAGTGGCGCAGCTGCGTGGGGAGTGAGTGGCGCAGCTGCGTGGGGAGTGAGTGGTGCAGCTGCGTGGGTGGTGAGTTGAGTTGCACGGCATTGAGCTTGGCGTGGCGGCATGGGGAGTGAGGGGCGCAACTGCGTTGGGAGTGAGTGACGCAGCTGCATGGGGAGTGAGGGGCTCAGCTGCGTGGGTAGTGAGTGTTGCAGCTGCTTGGGCAGTGACTGGCACAGCTGCGTGAGGATTGAGTGGCGCAGCTGTGTGGCAAGTGAGTGACGTGGCTGCGTAGTGAGTGTGTGGCTTGGCTACGTGGGGACTGAGTGCTGTGGCTGCATACTGAGTGTGTGGCTGGGCTGAGAGGGGAGTGAGTGGCACGGCAGCGTGGGGAGTGAGTGGCGCAGCGTCTTGCATGATGAGTCGAGTTGCACGGCGTTGAGCTTGGCGTGTCGGCATGGGGAGTGAGGGGAGCAGCTG